AGACCATGGATTATTATGAGTAAAAAACTGAAGGGCAGACCGACTTTCAAATTATTTTTATTATATTTTGTGGTCTTGCTTGAATCTTTCCCTTCTCTGATGAGCTAAGATAAAAGAAGAGATGGAGGTCAGTGAAACTAGTGAGCTTAAAAATTTTCTTTAAAGTTGGTGAAAAGATCTTTCTTCTGAATCTGAGCCCATTGCTTAAAAGACAGATACTTGAGATAATTCTTTTTATCTCACTAATTAAACATAAAGCTAGGCTGGGAGTTATTCAGAGACATGTCCTCATCAGCAGGGCCTAGCACCCGTGGCAGTGTTTTGATTCAAGATGCCTAATTTAATTAGCACCCTGTCACTGGGTGGGCTGCTGTACTGCCTTGGATCTCTGGCCTGAGGAGAAATGTGCAACCCATGCTCTTTTATTTCTAGTTAGCCTTATAAAAGGTAGGATGTCCAAGGAGGGAGAGGAACTTTGCTTCTTCATCATGATTTGCATGCAGTGGTAAATGAGCTGACAGTCTTGGAACACAGTCTATGATTGCTGCAGCTGAGCCTTAAGCTCAAACTAGTGAAAACCAATCCAAACCAAACCCACTGCCATCGACTCGATTCCAACTCATAGTGTCCCTCTAGGATGAAGCAGAACTGCCCCATATGGTTTCTAAGGCTGGAAATCTATATGGAAGCAGACAGCCTCATCTTTCTCCTGTGGAGCAGCTGGTGTGTTCAAACCACCAACTTTTTGCTTAGCAACCCAGCATTTTAACCACCATACCAACAGGGCTCCTTCATAATTGGTAAAGAGATCATGAATATCAAAAGGTTCACCTTTGCCCTTGAGGCTCTTGAAATATGGAAAATAATTGATGAGGGGAATCTCTTCAGTCTGCATGCTTGAGTAACTGCAAGCAACACAAAACTGGGAAGGAATACAGTATTCAAATCCTCCTGGCACCACTTCTCCTTGCTTTCCCTACCCAGTTCTCTAATGAGGAAAGGAAAATGTGAAAATCTTTGGCTTCCTTAATTGCTGTGCTTTGCCCTCATACCTTTTTTGTTCTTGCCTATCAGGGTGAGAGTCTTGTTTCTGTCAATCATTTCTTGTTCTTTTCTGCCTAGAAAATAATAATGTATGTGTTTTGAGCCTTGAGATTATTCCAGCCCCTTCTCCTCCATAATTGCAACACAGAAAACAATCATTATTATTTTTTGTGTGTTTGTTTTACTCTGTAACAGTGAGCTATAGAAATCAGTTATATTTGTTCTTCTAATCCCTGAAACTTCTCCTGGAACAATTTCCAAATTTTCCTCAGGACTGCAGGAGTCACAGATTTGTCTACTTTTACCACAGTTCTGAATTGTGGACGTTTACTATTTTCTTACTGTTTCCTCCATTATATTGGGGGTAATATTGTAGAAGGTACAAATCATAAACAGCGGTGTAAGACAATCTTGTGTTTGAAATCTGGCCTCATTCTCAACCATCTTGGGTTAGATCCTTTACCTCTGTGAGCATGAATCCCCACTGGCAAAATTAAAGAGGAAAAAAAAAAAAAAATCATTCTCTCCAGAACTATTAAGATAATTAAGTAAAATAATACACTTAAAATCATCGCAAATATCCCCTGCCACATATTTGTTGCTCAATAAATGTGAGTTTTCTGTCTATTTTTACTTAGCATCCCTCTTGCCTCGGTAATTCCTTTTGGTTCTTGCATTTGTCTTAAAGGATTTGTTTGTCTTCTGAATTTACTTCAAGTATAAATAAACATCTCTACCAAAAACTACTGGATCTTGCCTCAATCTGCTCCCAAAGTGTTAATTTCAGCAATTTACTTTTTGTGAAGTTGGAGGTTTGGGGGACTTTGATGGTTATTTCTACAAGAGAGTAAGAAGTTTCCAGCCTTTTCATGTCCACCTTTTGTGTTATAGCTCTTTGCCTGTATGATAATGTGACAATAACGGTAAACAACTCTTACAACCACCTCTGCTATAGTGTGCCAGAAACTGTACTAAGCACGTTATATAATTTGCAATCCTTACAATTCTACGTGATAAATTTTGTTGTCATTATCTTATAGATAATAAGAGTTCAGATAGGTTAAGTGACTTGCTCACAGTTATAAGCATATTCTGGAAAGTCTGAGTGATTCCAAAGTCAATTATTGTTCAAGATAGAAAGAAAGATGTAAAGAAGAAAGGAAAGAAGAAAGAAAAGGGGAAGAGGGTGGAGGGGAAGAGAAATCCAGTCTTTCATTTCAGAAGGATTGTTTACCATTATTAGCCTTTTCTCCTACCATGAACACCCATCTTTTTCTGTTTCACAGAAAAATGTCAGCTTTGGAAATAATTTAACCCAAATAATCACTCTGTTGGAGTAACTCTCTCCTAGTGCTGCTGTAATTTGGGTTACAATTATAGCTAATTGAACATCTTCGAAGTAAGCTCAGTGCTGCATGCATGCAAGTGGAGAAAAAAAATGTTTAATGTGCTTAGCATGGAAAAAAAAAATGATCATAGAAGTTCATTTTTACCAGCAGAAACAGAAAGCAATTAGTGAGACCTTTTTTCAGCAAGGACAGAGAGAGAAAAGACCCCAAAACCCATAATTTCAAGACAAGCTCTAAGATGAGCCCAGGGCCCCATTAAGGCTGCAGTAATGAAAAGGGTTTGTGAGCTGCATGTTGGCATCTGTGAAAAGGTTTCCCTTCTCAGGAATCAAGACACATTAGTCTCATTATTTGCAGATACTTGACAGGAGCCAGAGTGAAGCAGCAAAATAAGGAAATGCAATATGGGGGAGTAGCAGGCTAATTGGGACAGGGGAGAGGGAGGAGGGCCTGACACATCTGTTCTAGAAAATCCCCCTCTAAGTAACAGAAACAAACAATCTTCCCTCTATATATGATTTCCACTCAATGAGAACCTGGGAGGATGCCTAGTTCACTCCAGTGCATCCTGGTGATACGCACTTTCAACATGACTTATACCATGAATCTGTAACTTAAAACTATTTTTCTTCACTTTCTAAGGTGTTTCTTTAAACTCAACTCATAAAAGAATTAAGCTCAAAAGTATCCCAGGTTGGGGACTGGCACATTGCCCAGAATACCTAGAGCAAAGGAATCAAGGAACAGCTATGAAGATAGGCATTCTTTAACCAGCAGATTTTTCTCCTTTCCTGTCTGCGCCAGAAGAGGTTATGCCTGAGTGGCCATATCATGTTACTTGCTTCTGCTTACTACAAAGCCCTTTGGGAACGTGCTTCAGAGGAGTGTCTGTGACTTCAGAATAATTGGATAGGGAAATGAAAAAGCTAGAGGATAACAGAGAATAAACCTAGTTGGAAGTACCATGGTTTTAATTTCTATCTTTAGACCTCCACTGGGATAATAAAAGGATGTGGGGACCTGAAACTTTAAGACCATAGGTCATAAGAAACTTAGGCTCAGTGTAATTTCAGAGGTGGGGTTACCATTCTCCGGATAGAAATTGCCCTCTAGAAGCATCATTTAGAGTAAGCAGGCTAAAGGGGACGATAGGAGAGCTCACCACAGACATACAAAAAAACAGCAAACCAAATCCTACTCATGGCGACCCCTCCTTGGGTTTCCGAGGGAAGATCTCTACAGAAATAGATTGCCCAATCTTCCTTCCCAGAAGTGGCTGGTGGGTTTGAACTGCCAGCCTTCTGGTTAGCAGTCAAGTGCCTTAGGCACTATACCACCAGAGCAGCAACAATCATCACTCCTATCCAATTCCATATGTACATGAGCCCACAATAAATTCATATCGTAGAGAAAACAGATAGGCCTAAAATCATGCAGCCAGTCAGAGTCCAGACAGGATCAAATCCTGTGTTCCTTTCTTCACTCTTCAGGCCCCTAGCTGTCATCTCTGGATTTAGAGCAGTGTCCCCCAGGGGACATGTAGTAAGGTCTGGACACATTTTTATTGTCATGACTGGGGGTTTACTAATGGTATTTAGAAGAAGGAGACTAGTTGTTGCTGCTAGTTACTTCTATTCTATCCTGACTCATGGTGACCACATGAGTTACAGAGTAGAACTGCTTCATAGGGTATTCTCAACAGATCATCAGATGTTTTCTTCTGAACAACCATTAAAAAAAAAAAAAAAAAAAAACTGAAATCAAGTTGATTCTGACACATACCATCCATCATTGGGTTTCCAAGGCTTTAAGATGGGAATGGATCTCCCCATCTTCCTTCCATGGAGCAGCTGGTGGTTTTGAACTATTGACCTTCTGGTTAGCCTCCAGACACTGGGTGGTTCAAATCACCAACATTAGGTTAGCAGACAAATGCAAAACTTTTGAGCTAGCTAGGGACATGGGATGTCACTGTTACCCATGGTGGACAGGTTTCAGTGCACAGGACAGCCCCCACAACAAAGAATTATCTAGCTCAAAGTGTCAATAATGCTGAAGCTGAGAAATCCTGATTTAGAGTATGTACAATCTTCCTTTGCTAATTTTGTTTCTCTCTTTGTTTTGACTTTGCTGAAGTCAAAAGCAGTAATTATCATTGAATTTTCAATTTCTGATTGTTTTTTCCAAGTGTTTCTTTCAATGGGCAAATAATTTTATTTGGTGGAACCATTGCTGCTTTGCTGGTTGGAACAAGCAAGGGAGGGCAGATTTCTCATTCCTGAAGGCAGTAGGGGCCTTAGGTATCCTTCCACAGCACTATGCTCTGTTCTGGTACAAATGCATTACCATTCATACATTCATGCAGTTTTCCATTAATGTGCTGGTTTCATAACTGAACTAATAATATTTACAACATCTTGGTGCTGACAGCAACAAGTTGTCTACATAAGAACATAGGCATTTGGTGTGATGTGGAGAAGAGGCTAAATAATTTAGTGCCATATTTTTGCAAATGTCTTGATCTGAAATCATTACTTCTTTTTGCCAGTATGTCTGTAAGAAGGTGTACCTAGTGGAAATCCTGTTGGAATGAAATACACCTCTGAATCAATTTTGTATGCCACCAAAGAATCTTTAATCACAGAACTGAAAATCAGAGTAACATAATGAAATTTTAAAAATGAACAAAACTGTATTAAATCAAACATATGGCTCTCAAACACAAGTCTACACAATTCAGTCTAGACAGCATAATAATTATTAAGTGATTACCACTAGGCCCCATATCACGTAATGATATACATTTGTTTTTCAATTACAAAATTAAAAACAATTCTTCAAATACATTGTTTTGGTTCTTTTACATTTATTCATTAGCTACAAGCCTAAACTCCAATTTGTGGTAGGGAATTAAATAGGACTAGTAAATAAACAGGCCAATTTAAGGAGACCTTGGAGGACAAAGTATTATAATTGGAAGCAAACTTGTGATGGTTTGAATCGTTGCTGTCAGTTTTGTGGAAAACCACTCCTCAGGTATATGCCAAATGCTGTCAGCTGCTGTCCTCAAAACTGCCACTATGTCGGCAAGAATGAAAATGCATCGGGCTCATGGGATCAGATACGTACCCTGCATCAGAAAAGAAGTTCACTTGTTACTTATTGGCTTTTCAACCCACCTCCCCTTTTTTCACCAGCCTGACTCGGTGAAATACACAGCCACCAGGTAGCTCTCCAGGCTCATGTGAACACAGAATCTGGAAAAGAGTGTCTGGTGAACAGTCATAAAACAAAAGCAAATTTTAAAATGAAGACAGAGAACTGAAACAAGAAAAACATAAATTATGGATGTGTGTTTTAGACCCAGTGTCGGTCAGGCAATATTTGGTGTTTGGAGTAAAGAAGGAAAGAGTTCAGCAAGGTGGTTTGCCATTGTGGTTAAAAAAATCATGTCAGACAAATATGGGTATAAGCCTTGGCTCCACTGCTTACTGGCCCTGTGACTTTTGATATCTTACTTAACCTTTATGAGCCTCAATGACTTCATCTATATACATGGGAGAAATAATAGTACTCCCCTCATAAGGTTGGTAATGTGCAGAAGGCAAGTAGCAAAGTGTCTGACCTATAGTGAGTGCTAAATAAATGATGGCTATAAAACAAACAAACAAAAAAGTGGAAATAACAGCAGAGAAATAAGAAAAAGCTTCTTTCTATAGCAGGTTGCTTCAGTTGTTTTTTTCTGCCTGAGAACCCAGCTTTTAAGTGTATCAATGCTTAGGTATAAATACCAATGACAAATAATGCTCACTGTAGCAATAGCCCTGCGTGTGTCAAGAGAACAGGCCTAGTGGCTGAGAATAGGATTGCTGTTTTGGAGAACACAGGGCACGGGCAGGGAAGCAGTTGCTTTTCCTGTCTAAAGTAAGGAAGCTATTCATTTCTTCTGTGAAAATGGACCCATTTGTCAAGAGCTATTGCTGCTTTTGCTCCCCTTTGATAGCTGAGTTTTCAGAATCAACTCAGCCATCTACATTTTCATCAAGGCACCTAGCAATACGCAGTTGAATGGACATATTTATTTTCATAAGAAAGGTCTTTGTCAAAATCTCTTAGGCAGCACATCAAGTTTCTTGACAGAAAGCACCACTGATGCCAATATCACTGCTGACTTTCCTCTCTCCTACAATTCCAGGGGCACTGGCCCCCACATGTATGAGGAAGGTTGTAGTATTGGGAGGATAAGATGAGGGGAAACAGAAGACATACCTGAATCATAACTCTGAGTGCACTACTATATCCTAGAGCAAAAATACTTCCTTTTGTCCAGCCTGAAACTGTGCCTTCATTCCAGGCATAAAGATATGCTTTAATTAGCTCATAATACTTTTATTACTATAATCAACCTTCTAATGTACCACATGCAGTTTTACCATCCTGTGATGTTCCAATGCTTTTCTCCCTCCAAGACTGCACTGGAAATCCACTTCTGAACATATGTCCCACCAGCGTGGGTGGGCTCTTCTCAGGAGTGGGTATCAAAATCGGCAGAGCACAGATGCTGGCATAATGACGCTATTATTGCCAGAGTAAAGGTGGACATGTTGGGCTTAGAAAGGACCCAACTAAAATTTGACCACAGGCTTTAGGAAAAGCCTAAATCATGTCTACATGTTTTGTTACTTTCGGGTGAAAGATACCAAATAGAAAGAAAATAGCTATGGGAGAAAGAAAAGAAAGAAAGAAAAACAGTTTCTAAAGCTGCGATTGTATCATGATTGGTTTATGAAAAGGAAATGAAGAGCCATTAAGGGCTCTTTCTGATATGATGCTACATTACTGGTAGAAGATTAAATGTCTTCTTTGTCTACAGGGGGGTCTTCCCCAAAGGAATCCCTGCCCCATCCATGCACTCAAAGTTTTCTTCTACCCTTGATACAAATAAGCATAGACAAACACAACTTTCAAATAATTGCAGCACTTTTGCCTTATTTCTCCACCTTGGGAAATTCTGCTCAAGTCCTATTCCTTTAAGAAATAGATCTATAAGTTAAAAAAAAGTCTTCATCTTGAAACTCCACCATAAAAAGAAAGACTTCTAGTCAAAGCACACATTTCAAAGGTGCCCTATATTTTATGGTTGTGAAGTCACATCTGTAAAGTTTTAGAAAAAACGATAGTACATCTATATATATAATAAAAAAAAATGCAGTGATATGACACTTGGAGCACATTTCTCCTCAAAAGGATCTGTTACTGGATTGGCCAATTATGTTGTAAAGCTGATGAAAAAAAGCACTGGCTGCATTCTAGACATGTACTGGGGGAGTCAGGAACACAATTTTCTTTCTTTAATGTGCTTTTTTGTCTGTATATACACAGAATATTTTTCCCCTCATTTCTTAAGAGCAGTCTAATGCTTTCAGTAATTATACTTAGCAGATGAATTACATTGGCTCCAAAAGCACCTTGTACTGTCATAAGAACCAACAACCTCCAGGATCTATTAACATCTATATCTGAAAACCAGGAATACATCACCCAATTTGTTCTTCCTTAAACCCAGTTCTTGTAATAAATCTGGTATCTTTAACTGATTTAAGGAGTTCTGGTGGTGTTGTGCCAAAAGCATTTGACTGTTAACCAGAAAGTTGGTGGTTGAAACCTGCTAGGCACTCTGTGGAAGGAAGACTGGGCAATCCTCTTCCATAAAGATTTACTGCCTCAGAAACCCAGAGGAGGTTGCTGTGAGTTGAAATTGACTTGATGGCAGTGAGTTTAGTTTTTTTTTTAAAAAAACTGATATACATTTTTTAGTCCTTTATATAGTCAAATGAAGTTGCCATGAATGAGTGGGTCCATTGTACTAAAATTCTAATTACATATTGAGCCTCTCACACTTAGAAGCTGAAAAAAGTATGTAGCAGGCCCCACATATAAATCTGGGAGATAACGGTGATTTCCTATTCCCCATGGTGCAGTGGTTAAGTGCTCAGCTGTTAACGGAAAGGTTCGTGGTTCAAACCCATCAGCAGCTCCATGGGAGAAATATGTGGCAGTCTGCTTCTGAAAAGATTTACAGCCATGAAAACCCTGTGAGGCAGTTCTACTATAGAGTTGCTGTGAGTTGGAATCGACTTCATAGTAATGGATTTGGTATGGGCTTCCAGAAACCTGCATAAAACTTTATTATTTAAAAAACCTGTATTCTTTCTGAAGCAGTCCTATGCAAAATGGTTCCATGAGGTCTCCTCTTGACTTCTTTCCAGATTTTTGACAGAATGCCTTGGTTTAAATTTTATCCTGTGGTGCTTGGGTAAAATGCAAGGGGTCTCTCAGCATACACTGTAACCATGGAAACTCATCTCTGTTATTCTCCTACCTACCTGCACACACATGATGCAATGTTTAGGGGCAGTAAACTTGATAAGGTGGTGGCAAAGTGTTTGGAATATCATGAGTTGTAGAAGATTATTTTTTATGAAAAAAATTATACATGTGTACACATACACAGTTACACACATCCACATGCAGACACATATATTAAGTTCAAAGATAAATGAAGCATAATATAAGATTTATAAGACCAATATTGGTACTTTTATGATTTTTAAAGCATCTCTTACTTCTCATCTCTTGATATTACACAATATAGTGTTTTCTCCTTCAACATAAAATAGATTAATCTGAGGAATCTATATACTTACCATACTTGTCAATAGGTGAGAATTGAAGACTTCTTTTCATCTCCTCCATAGACAGGCCTGGAGAGGAGCATTGTCCAGAACTGGAAAATCATGAGATACCAGTTTCACACTGTGGTGTTTTGTTGTAACATTTTTGTAAAACAGAATTTATTCACTAAACTTAGATCCCAGAGAATTGGAGAAGTGCTACAAAGTTGTATTTATCTTAAAAAAGATATTTGGAGTAAGTTAGATCTAGATAGGAGTTCTTCCAGCTAGAGTACTTTGTAATTTTGGGCATGTTAGCCTGTCTGAGTCTATTTATCTATGAAATGGGAAAAGTTCATAAACACTCTCCAGTTTGTTTTCATGATAAATATAATAAAAAGGAGAGTTGAGTGTAAATATGGGTTAATGTGCTTGCAATCTTTATGTAAAAGGGACTATGATCAAGAACATTATTATCTTATTAATAGTCAATATAAATGAGACACATGTCAGGAGGTAAATGATAATCCTACTAATAATTATGATATTACTACTATTGTCATAACAATTATAAGATGTCATAATATTTATTATATTCTTCCTATGTGTTAAGCATATATCTATATTCATCTTATTTAATCCTTATCATTATCTTGTTTAATACTCTATCATTCTTCTCTTATTATAAGTAAGAGAACTGAGGATAGAGCAATTAAGCAACTTGTTTGTCATACAGTTGGCAAACAGCTTATTTAGGATTCAAACCCAAGTCTTTTAAATCCCAAAGCCTGTGAATTTATGTGTATTCAAATATGAATTTCTTCACAATTTCTGACTTTCATTGATCTCTTTCTTCTCCAAACTCCTCCTACCCTTTTACTATATTGGTTAATGAGATCACTTTCTTTCTAGCTCATCAGGAACTAAATATATGAAAGCCCTCAGCTTAATATCTAATCATATTTGTGAATTAATTGTACATCTATAGACTGTCTTGTAACTATCCTTTCTTAAGCATCTTCAAAGAAGCTACCCTAGTTACCCCAGAACGTGCCCACATTATGTTCATAGCAGAACTCTTATTCTTCCTACCCCAGAGACAGTTTTCTCCTCAATTACTGGCACCATATACATGGAGTCATCCTTGGCTTCTCCTTCTCTCCCACATCTCTTGTTGTTGTTGTTGTTATGTGCCTTTGAGACTTACTCAAGTCCTTTTATCTCTGCCTCCAACATATAACCCTAGTCTCTCCATCTCTCTTCTCTAAGGTTATCACCTGAGTATAAACACATACTATCTTTCTTGCCTGGACCTGTACAATTTGTCTACTAATTGGTCTCCCTGCTTTCACTTTCTCCCCATATAATGCATTCTCCTCAATGTGTTACAAAGAGTAATCCTTTCAAACATACACCAGGTCAAGTGTTTTAGTTACTTCATGCTGCTCTAACAGAAAATACCACAAATGGGTGGCTTTAACAAACAGGAGTTTATTTTTTTACAGTTTTGGAGGCTAAAAGTCCAAGTTGAAAGTACCAGGCTCTAGGGCTTGGGAAAGCCCCTTGACCTTGGGCTTCAGCTCTGCCTCTTGTTCCCAGGCCACTGAACCTGGAGGCATTTCTTCACTCAGGCAGCTGCTGGCTGCTGAGGCTGACAAACCCAAGGTTGACAAGTAAAAAGGCATAGTCCCAATATTACCAAACCAGATGGCAGGCCATTGATTAAAGTCCATTAAGAGTCCAAGATCAGCAGACAACAAAGCAGGTTGCTGAAAGAAGACTCAGCTACTTGCAGGGTTCAAGCATGTTAAAAGCTGCAGACCATTCCTAAAGCTTCTCCTTATATACTGGGAACAGATCACATCCCTAAGGCAGCTCACAGCAGACTCCACCATGGAGTTGATTACCAGTCTCATCATGGGGAATACTACATCCAGCTGGCCAGCCACTCAAAACCAGGCCCAGCTAAGTTGACACATATCCTGAACTACCACATCAAGTCATCCCTCAACTTATAATCCTCCAGTGGCTTTCCAGTTCACTTGGAATAAAATACAAATGTTTTATACTTACCTATAAGGTCCTCCTTAGGAGCTCTGGTAGCATAGTGCCTAAGGCACTTGACTGCTCATCAGAAGGCTGGCGGTTCAAACTAACCAGCCACTGCTCAGAAGGAAGGTTGGGCAATCCTACTTCTGTAGTGATACTGCCTCGGAAACCCAAGGAGAGGTCGCTATGAGTCGGGGCTGACTCGATGGCATATAACAACAACAACAACAATAAGGTCCTCCAAGCCCTGATCTTGCCTCTCTCTCTAACTTCAACTGTAAACTTCTCTCCATCTTTTGTTAATCACTTCTTTTGGCATTCTTTCTGTCTCTTGAGCCCTCCAAGTTCTTTCACAATTCTGACTCTTTGCATTGGTTAACTCTGCCTGGAATGCTCTTCCTAACTAATCCAAATGTTGCTTTGATGACCTTTTGCCTTGCCTTCCCCCATGGCTAGCTTCTCCATTATTGAGGCCTCAGCTCAAACATTACCTCCTCAGAGAGGTCATCCTTGACCAACATTTTAAAGTGACCATTCCTCTATCCATACTCAGTCTCTTATCACATCATCCTATTTCATAGGACTCGACGGCAAATAACAACAACAACAACAACATCATTATATAGAATTGTGTTGTGGATTTATCTGTTTACATATATACTGTTCATATTCTGTCCATATAATGAGGGTGGAGACCTTGTCTCTCTTGTTCCTTGCTATGTGCTCAATGCTTAGAATAGTCTCTGACACACAGGACAAACTCAAAAATAGTTGTTGAAGTAATACACTCCTAAATCTGTCCTTCCTTCAAGATACTTCAATCCTCTCTCCACAAGGCTTCCAATTTGTCTTACTGCCTATAGCACTTCCCCACTTTTCACTGCAATTTCTCAGTCTGATGTTCCAAGCTGTCCACAATACAACTCTACTTACATTGCACGCATATCTTACTCTGCAACTCCACATTACCCTCTTCTCCCCTCAAGTTCAGGGAGCTCTGATAACGTAGTGCCTAAGCCACTTGACTGCTAACCAGAAGGCTGGCAGTTCAAACACACCAGCCACTCCTTGGAAGGAAGATGGGGTAATCTACTTCCATAGTAATACTGTCTTGGAAACCCAAGAAGGGGTCGCTATGAGTTGGGTCCAACTCGACAGCACATAACAACAACAACAACAACCCCTCAAGTTCAAGCCATCACTACTAGACTTTGGATTTTCCAAACATGCTTAAATTGTCTTTACCTCATAGCTGTAGTCAAGCTTTTCCTATTGCTGTGTTTGCTGGTTGACATCTTATTTATCCCTGACAATAAGAAGTACAGCGTCATGATTAAGAAGCAGCATTCTGGTGCCAGCCTTCTTGAATTTGAATCCTGACTTCATTACTTACTAGCCCAATGACTGTTGGCAAGGTATTTAGCTACTCTATACCTCAATTCATTCAACTGTAAAATGGGAATCATAATAATATTTAATTTATAAGGTTAATCTTGAGTTAATACATTTAAAGCACTTCCAACAGTGTCTTCAGTGGGTTTTATTGAGTAAGCATTCGATAAATGTTACCTATTTTTATTATCCTTCAAAGTCCAACTCAAAAACAGCATCTTCTTCCAAGTGCATTTTGACAGAATTAGAATTAACCTCTTTCTTCTCCATGCCCCTCTACCACTTTGTACTAATACCACAGTGCTTCATAGAACTTGTTAATCTGTATCTGTATATTAGTGAACATCACTAAACAGATAGCTCCTAGAGGGCAAGGATCCCATTTTAAGTCTTTGGAATTCCAATGGTGATTAGCCAGTACTTTGTAAATAGCTAAAATAATAAAAGTATGCTAATTAAAATAAAACTAAGTTATTACAAAATTTAGATTTGGAGATGTCATCTGCCTTGAAAATAACCTCATATTTGGTCTTACTGTCTTAGGCTATGGAGTGTGGGGTGCTATTTCTCAGATAAATGCAGTGATCAAGAGGAAGAATAAGGAGGAATATTAGTAATAGTTGCAGTTTTGGCTTAAAGCAGAATATTATGTGATTTCATTTAACATACATGATAATCTAAACTTGGTACTAGATAATAGAATTGAGAGCAGGCTTTGGATGGTGCAAGACATAACTACTTCCCATACCTCCCTACTGCTAGCATTTTGGGGCTTCGGAACAAACCTTTGCACCTCCCCTCTGAAGCCTTATCATTTGTCTAAATGAGCAGCAAGGCTAAAGAGATACAGTTCTAAGCTAACAATTCCAGGCTGGCACCGTGTGTGACACCCCTCTATTTAGGTGATCAGGTGGGAAAACTTGCATTGCACTTTGTGCAGTGAAATATACAATCCCTGGAATATGAAACCAGGTAGATGAAAATCCTTGGGCTCCTTCGTCCACTGGTACAAAGAAAGGGTGCACCATGGAAGTTTTTCATCCCACCCGAACAGCTTTGAGCCAGGGAGGACTTCTCTTAATGGAACTTTTCACGTGGTATAGTGTCTGTTGTCTGTGAGTAATTAAATGGCTTTGACTTTTGCCAACACCATATACATGTCTCCTATGTATAACTTGATGAGGATAAATGGACATAATACTCATGGAATGGTTGGTACCACTGGTGGAATTCTCATCTCAGTGTTTTGGTGAGTACTTGGGATTTTTAGACAGCCTGTAAAACAGCCTGCATGTGCAATGCAAGAATACCATTAGAGATATTTTTCTTTCGAAAATTTCCCCTATTAATACCTGTAACCTCTTTAGCACTCTAGCTCCTTTTAAGAAATGTGCTAAAAGCAGTAGTCTTGGCAACAAGATAATGGGGAATAAATATTTTATCACCAAAATGACTATCGGGTTTCCTCCAAACAAAAGCCTATCTTCAAGCTGTCCTGTTTGTTTGGTTGCTGAGTGCAGTCCATGCCAAGTGACTTAACCTTCCTGCCCAAGAGATACCACATAGGCTGGCTCTGGATACTGTTCTAGGACAACAGAGAGACGGAAGTTAAACATGACTAGGCCAAGCAAACAAGAAGAAACCAGACCCTGATCAATTAAACTAGTTGTCT